TCATCTAGTCAAACCCCTTCATTTTTTTGGATGAGAAAACTGAGGAGTTCCAGAGAGGTTAAGTCATTTGTGCAAAGTCACACAGCTATTAAAGGCAGCTAGGTGGTGCAGTGGATAGAGTGCCAAGCCTGAAATCAGGAAGACCTGAGTTCAAATCTAGCTTCAGATACTAGCTGTGTGACCCTGGGCAAGTTATTTAACCCTATTTGTCTCAGTTTCTCCATCTGTCAGATGAGCCGGAGAAGGAAATGGCAAATCATTCCAGTATCTTTGCCAAGAAAACCCCAAATGGGGTCATGAAGAGTTGGACACAACAGAACAACACACAGCTAATAATTGGCAGACCAAAGATTCAAACTGAGGTACTTTGATTTCAAATCCAGATCCTACCACTGCTTCATGTGAGGTACATTGAAGTGAATTTCTGGCGTATGCTCCATTGTCTATGGAATTATGTTTCAAATATGTCCTGAAAAAGTGACAAATGTCTTAGAGTCTTCCTTCTCACCTATCCTGTAATCCAGTTAGTAGCCACGTCCTGCCTGGTCTGTCTCTAGACCACGTCTGAAATCCATCCTTTCTCTCTCTGCCTACTCAACTACCACCATGAAATGTTAGTGCTTGCTCTAATCTCACTCCAGAATTTTTGCAATAGTTTTTTTTTGGTTTTTTTTTTTTTTTGCAATTGGGGTTAAGTGACTTGCCCAGGGTCACACAGCTAGTAAGTGTTAAGTGTTTGGTCTGAGGACAGATTTGAACTCAGGTCCTCATGACTTCAGGGCCGATACTCTATCCCCTGTACCACCTAGCTGCCCCGAAATAGTTTTCTAAATGCCTCCAATCTTTTTCCCTTCTAGTTTATACTTCACCAGGTATCAAAATAGTTTTCTTATCTTAGGGGTCCTACTATATCACTCCCCTGTTCAAAATCCTTCCGTGGCTCCTTTGTGGCTTGAGGATAAAGTACCAACTCAGCCTGGCATTTAAGGTTTTCCACAGTCTGGTTCCAATCTGCCTTTGCAACTTTATGATACTTCCCTCCACCCACTCTATGTTCCAGCCAAACTGGACTCCTGTCCATTTCCTAATAGAAAAAAAAAAACCATTCCTTGAATTCACCAAGAACTCTCCTGCTTCCTTACTTCTCAAGGAATATTCCACATTCCTGGACTATATTCTCTTCTGGTGTTAGCTAGTAGAAATCTTTCTCTACCTTCAGACTCCAACTTGAGTTACTTCAATTCAATTCAACATTTATTAAATCCTTATACAAAAACAGAGATCCTCCCATTGAGGAGCTAATATTCTACTTTTTCTCCCCTCCCTCCATTACCAACCTCCAAAGAAAGTGATCTTTCCTTTCTCAAGTGTTTAGAACACCTTGTTTGAATCTCTTCTTTGCCTAGTATTACACTTAATTGCTGTTCATATAGTGCTCCACCCCTGCGCCTCTAGGTCCAGGGCATGAGCTTTGGTATTTTTCTTCTATATAGGTTTAGCATCTAGCACAGAGCCTTGTACACTATAGGTGTTTATTAAATATTGTTGTTGTTCAGTTGTGTCTGATTCTTCATGACCCCATTTGGAGTTTTCTTGGCAAAGATACTGGAATGGTTTACCATTTCCTTCTCCAGCTCATTTGATAGGTGAGGAAACTAAGGCAAACAGGTTTAATTGACTTGCCCAGGGTCACACAGCTAGGAAATGTCTGAGGCCATATTTGAATTAAAGATGGGTCTTCCTGATTCCAGGCCCAGCACTCATGCTCTATGCCACCTAGCTGCCCTTATAAATATTACCTGAATTGAATTAAGCTTTTCCTAATTCTCACTTTACCCTGCCCCCAATTGCCAGTCCAATTTCTCCCTCTTCAAAGTATTGTGCACTTCTTTGTGCATTTAAAATGTAAGCTCCTTGAGGGCAGGCACTATTTCATTTTTATTTCACAGAATCTTATCTTTGCCTTTGCATTCCCAGCTGTGCCTTGTGGCCAGTTGACACTTGTTAAAGTGTTTTATTGACTTGGTTTGTGGTGTATTGTCCCCTTACCCCACTAACCTTCTGGACCTGGAGGGCAGTAGTCCTAGAAAGTGGTTAGAAAGTGAGGTAATCCTCAATACAAACTGACTAAACACAAACTGGCTCTTCAGAGAGAAAAGGGACTGGGGTGGTGGAGGGGGAGGAAGGGGGAGGAGGAGAGGGCAGAGAGAAGGAGAGAGAGTAGAGAAAAGAGAGTAGGGACCAGAGAAAAGACTTTTACCCTTAACCAGCCCCCAGAAAGGAGATAGGAAAATCCTGAGAAGGATTAAGTTTTGCTCCTAATCCAGCTGGCCAGAAGGCGCAGAAAGGATTGAGTGTCCTCAGGCTGCTCATTCTACACTCTATTTCAGCTACCCCACAGGGTAAGGATGTGGATTCTGTCCTGGCCCCAAAACTATCTAGGTGAACTGGGGCAAATCTTGCATTACCTAATGGCATAGTTTTATTAGGAGGAAGGTGCATTATAAATTTTAAGTGCTATAAAAAATGTGAAGCAAATTATTATTGCTAATCAAGAGGGAAACTGAATTGTGGTTGGGGAATGGGAGTGGAGGATCTGTAGATTACAAGAGTTAGCAGCCTATTGAGCACCAAGCTAAGCAACACCCCCCGGTGGGCTGCAAGCATAGGAAGAGACAGAGAAAGGGAGAGAATCAGTTGCAGTACATTGCTGTGGCTTATATGTACTGCTTTTCATCCAGAAGGAAAGGAGTGAAGCAGTTGCAGTGGGGAATGGGAAAAGGAAGATACTATATAAACTGTGAGGTGGAGAGTGATTCACTGACATGGAATCTCAGCAGTCATGATTGAACAAGAATCTTCCTTATAACATTCCTGGATGGGAAGATAGTGTCAGGGCAGAGAATGAAAGAAGAGAGAGGTCTATGTGGTGTATTTCCTATTTCTGCCTGCTCATACCTTAATCTGTTAGCCCTTCACTCTCTCCTATCCTTGTTGGATCACTCATAATATAGAGGAAGTATCATGGATTAGCAGTTTAGAGCTCCAATCCCACTTTTAAAATTTAATAGCTGTAATAACAGTAACATCTACTCCTCATAGGCTATGCTAACTTTTCCCTTGAAAGTTAACGAAAACACCTTCAAAACTTAATTGATCCATGGAACTAAGGCTCAAACCAGAGGTTCCCAAACTTATTTGGCCTACTACCCCCTTTTCAAAAAAATTACTCAGTGCTCCTCCCCCTCCCCCAGAAATCTACTTTCTTTAACCCTTTAATTTTTTTTAAATTTGAGTCATTTCAAAAAATATATAATTTTTTTAATGTCACATCTTAAATTCATTAATTTATTGTAAATTTGTGGGTTTTTTCCTGCATTGAAATTTTGATGATGTGATATTGTATCATGTAACAGTATAGTATCATATTGTAAACAAGTCATTCCACACACATATTCTTGCTGATGCATGCTGGACTTCCCCACAAATCGAGATAGGCTCACCTGCCAACACTTGCTTGTTAAGACCTGCCGGCAGACTTGACCACTGCTAGGTTATGACTGGCATTTTCTGTGGGTTTTTTTTGAAAAACAATGTAATCACTACAACTTTAACTCTGTCACACAACAGATGAAACATGTATGAACCGTTTTTCAAAATTCTCTTCTCTTCTTTCCTTATGTCCACTACTCCCTTATTTTTATTCAATACCTCCTAATTGCACCTGAGGCTACTACTGCCCCACCCTCACCCCCACCCCACCCCCACATTGTTCCAGCACCCCTCAGGGGACAGTATCACCCACTTTGGGAACCTGTGGCTCAAACCAAAGTGTCCCAGTCACCGAAGGCATGAAAAGCCCAGTGCAAGAAGTTCCTCAAGCTGATGGACTACAACCCACCTACCTCCAGGAGTGAATACCCTCTCCTGATAAGGCTAATCTCCATATGGAGAGGAAGGGAGCAGCATCCTCCTGAATTCAGTCTTTGCTGAATAGCCACTCCTTTGCCATTTTGTTAAATCAGCTTCCTTTAGTCAAATGTTATCTGGTCTAGGAGTGTCTCATGATTTCAATCCCTAGCTTGAACCATCTGACTGTCGGGTCTGGCCCAGAGTAATAGCTATGCCACAATGGCCATCACTTCATCTTCAAACCTTAGTCTCCTCAGCTATAAAATGGAGATAAATAAACCATGCATTACCTACCTCACAGGGTTGTGAGAAAAGCCCTACTTAAATACCAGATATTATTATCGTGGTTAATTTTGCCTGGATGCTCACAATGTGTTAAATGCCCCTTCTGGATATGCCCCCTCCCCCCTTCACCCCAGGGCCTAAGAGTAGTCAGTCCCTCCTCTGGGTCTGGCTAGCTAATAATTATAATCAGCAGTATAAAGTAGTGATGAGTAAGACTGGAAGTAATGATAAATGTCTGCAAGAAAGACATCTGGTAGACACATTGATGATTAGGGGATGATAAAGCTTTGGAAGGCAACTCATGCCAACCTGAGGCAGCATGGCTTAGTAGTGGACCCCAGCACTGGACTTGAAGTGAGGAAGTCATGAGTTCAAATCCTGTCTAAGCCATTTACTAGCTGTGTGACCCTAGCGCTCTGTGCCTCAGTTTCCTCATCTGTAACTAAATCTATAATAGTTTTATGCCCCTGTTCAAACTTGTTGTAGAGCCTTGGGTAAGTTACTTTTCCGTTGTCTGACCCGGGTCCTGATGACCCAGCTTTAAATCTCAGATCCTGATCCTGCCCAGAAGCGGGGGCAGGGCGGGCGGCAGTAGAGACTTCTTTATTTCCCGGGTCCCTTCATTCACAGGCGCCTCCCTCCCGGAGCCGCGCGGGAGAGCCGAGGGGCGAGGCGGGGCCGGGGGCGCGCGCGGGGGCGGGGGAGAGGGGAGGGATCGGAGAGCCTGCGAGGGATGGTGACGGGAGCGCGCCCCGTGCAGTGGTCTCGGCTGCCGCTGCTGCTGTGCTGGCTGGCGGGACGCACGGACTCACGGACGGACCGGCGGAGGGGCAGGAGCAATGCCGGCCGCCCGGGTGGACTACATCGCGCCCTGGTGGGCCGTCTGGCTGCACAGCTTCCCGCACTTGAGCCTGCGCTTGCAGTCCGTGGATAGCACCTTCAACCCCCAGGACCCCAGTTACCAGGAGGTCAGTGAGTGCGCCCCACACCCCACACTCCGTCCATGTGCAATCCCGGGCGAGGTCTCCAGCCTAGGCTTCTCCTTCCCGTCCTGCTGTCCTTCAGCCCCATTCTCTGCCCCATTCTGCAACCAGCCCTTTGCCTTTTTTTCTCCCTCAGCCCCCCCCCCCCCACCTCCCTTTCCTGGAGACCTGACTCTCTCCCCTACTTGCTCCTCTGCTGCCTCTCGGCTTCCCCCTTTTCCGCCTCCCCTCAGTCTTCCCCTTTCCTCCTCTCCTCCCCCCTCCCCGGGCTTCCCTTCTTTCTGGGACTCTTCCTAAGGTGGGGAAACTGGGAATTAGCGACTGGGAGCATGGGGTGAAAGCGTTAAGGGAGGCAAATCATTTTAGAAACTGAGGTAGCCTCTTTGCCCCAGGGTTTCTTTGCAGTTAGTTTAGGAAGTACGGGAGGGGGCCCTGGAAGGTGGGTAGGGAGGGGCCTGGAGAATATGAAGGAGCTGGCTGCTCCAGTGTAGTTTTAAACAGCTATTCCAGGGTGAGGATCAATGAGTTTATTTTCTTTCCTAATTTCTGGCCTGCTTTGGTGGGAGTAGTTTGGGCTTGAAGAGAGAAGTCCCTCTGGGCTCCTCAGTTCCTTAGTCCCACCACCCCCTAATCTTTCCCACCCTTTCTTTTGTAGTCCTACTGTCTTCTATCTAACTTTTCCATACTCCCTCTTGTAGTCTTACTCCTCCCCTCCCCCTCTATCTTTCCCGCTCCCAGCTTTCTCGATAAGGAACTTACTGTCCCTGACCCTCTTCCCAAATCCCTGTTTGGATTGATGCTTTTCTATTTTTGGGGTTACTTGAATTGAAGACTCTTCTAATGAAGGATATTAAAGTGATACAGCTATCGATCAAACAAGCATTTATTAAGCTCCTACTATGTGCCATGCCCTGTGCTTGGCACTGGGGATCCAAAGACAAATAATGAAGGATAATACAGTGATAAGACTATCAAACAACAAGCATTTATTAAGTCTCCTACTCTGCGCCTTGCTCTGTTCTTGGCACTGGGCCTACAGAGACAAAAGTGATGCAGTCCTTCCTTGCCTTCCAGGAACTTCTGTACTATTGGGGAAGAAACAGCTTGGTGGGCCACCACGACATACAGAACAAATACAAAATAAATACAATGTCTTTTTGAAAGAGCACTGGTAGAGTTAGAAAAAAACTTTTCATCCATGCAGAAGGTAGAGCTTGAGCTGAGTTTTGAAGGATATAAGAGCTTCTAGGAAGAGAACATGAGGAAGAGAGCTCATTCCAAGTATTGGGGCCATACAGTGCAAAGGCTGGAAGATGGAGCAGCATTCTGTGTTAAGAACAGCAAGGAGGCCAATTTGGCCGAACCGTGGAATGTAGAAGGGGAATGATGAGCCAGGAAAGATAGATGGGGGCTGAGGTTCAAAGGGATTTAAAAGTCAGTCATAGGAATTTGCATTTTATCCTAGAGTGGGTTGGGAGCCACTAGAGTTTATTGAGGAAAGGAGGGGAGAGTGACATTATGCTTAAAGGAAAATCAACTTGGCTACTGTGTGAAAGTTGGATTAGAGTGGGAAGAGATTAGAGTCAGAGAGACCAATTAGGAGGCTGTTGCTGTTGCTTGGTGGGAGGAGGGGGGAGTGGAGGAGAGGTAATGCTAAGCCTAGCTGACATTAATGGAGTTTCAGGTATGGTACCTGTTATAGGAGAGCCATAGGTAATCAATTCCTAAACCTGGCAGTGATCTTTAGACTTTATGGCCATCCAACAAGTCACTTCCTTATCTATACAGGAGATAGCACTGGGTAACAGCATGGGACAGCTTCCCCTTTCATTAACATAGTCACTTCCTCCTCTCCTCTCCTTCCTCTTTTATTTCAGGCCCTGGATCAGAAAGCATTAAAGTTGTCTAGAGGCTAATTACACTTTAGGTTCTATCCCCAAGATGCTTATGGCAGCAGAAAGCTGGTGTTAACCCATTGTTTTTTCTACCTGTTTTCCTATTAATTTCCTTTTTTATGTAATATTTTATTTTTTCCCCAATTACATGTCAAAACAATTTTTTGACATTTTTTAAAAAGTTTTGAGTTTGGAATCCTATCCCTACCTCTCCTCCCCCCTTCTTGAGACTCTTGAGCAATTCAACATAGTTTATACCTGTGGAATCATGTAAAACATTTCCATATTAGTCATTTTGTACAAGAAGATACAAATCACCCCCCACCCCCAACATCGCTTTCCTCTCCCCATCCTTCCCCACTACCATCAACACCTTTTTCCCAAAAGAGAGGCTGGAGTTTTAAAATACTATTTCACAGGCCTCTTTTGTCAAAGAATCTTGTATCTAGTCAGTCAACAAGCATTTATTAAGTGCTAATCGTGCATTAAGCTCTGGGAGTGCAAAGAAAGTCAGTAAGATGGCCCCAGTTCTCGGGGAGCTCACATTCTCATGCATGCATAGAAGGTATGTACTGTGTAAATGAAAGGCAATCCCAGATGAGAGGCACTAGCATTTGGGGTGGGGGTGGGAGGTAAGGAAAGGCCATCTGAAAAAAGTGGAATTTGAGCAGTCTTGAAAGAAATGAGGGAGAACATTCCAGGAATGAGAGACAGCCAGTAAAAAAATAAAGAGGGGAGATCGAGTGTTGTATGTGAGAAACATGTGGAGGAGAGCAAAGTGGGAAAAGATTAGAAAGAGGCCAGGTTATATAGGGCTTTAAAAGCCTAACAGGATTTTATATTTTATCCTAGAAGTAACAGGGAGCCTTGGGGTTTATTGAATGGGGGGAGGGTGGGTGATGTTAGACCTGAGCTTTTTAAGATCACAATTTTTTTCATAAACAAATCCATGCATTTCTAATACTTTGAGCATATTCTCTGTCATGTGTGGGTGGTACAGCCGTTTAAAAAGTCTTTAATCTTTAAGATCACTCTGTTAGCTAATGGAAGATAACCTGGAGTGAGGAGAGAGAGTTGAGGCAGAGAAACCAACCAGAAGACTATTGCAATAGTTTAGGTGGAGGTGATGAGACCCTGCTCTGAGAAGGCGGCTGTGTGACTGGAGAGAAGGGGACGTAGAGTAGAGATATGGTGGACAACAGGACTTGGCAGCAGGTTGGGTATGTGGGGAGACTTCATATGAGGAACTGAGCATGATACCAGGACTGTGAGCCTATCTTACTGGAAAGGTGGTGGTTTCCTCAACAGTCACAGAGAACCTGGGAAGAGGGGAGGACTTGGGAGGAAAGATAATGAGTTCTTTTTGGACTTGTTCAGTTTGAGATGTCCAATACACAGTTGGTGATGAAAATCTGGGAGTCTGGGAGAGAGAGCAGGGCTAGAAAAATAACTTGGAGAATTCATTTGCATAGAGATGGTGATTGGACCCTTTGGAACTGATGACTCACCAAATGAGATAATCTAGAGGACAGGACCAAAGATAACCTTGGGAGATACCCAGTTAGTGAGTGTCACCTGAATGAAAATCCAGCAAATGAGGCTGAGAAGAGTTTTTTTTTTAATCAGCTTTAACTGACTCAGGTAGTGTTTCTCCTGCCTCTTGGAACTAGTCTGAGTCTGTGTTTCTTTAGCTGGACCAGTATTATAGGGATGAGGGAGGGAGGAGCAACAGGGTGGAGCTTTTGATATTGCCCTAATCTGTTTAATCAGTGCTCTCTGACCCTTCTAATATGCCAGAGACTTTGACCCCAAGAATTGCTTCCTCTCCATGGGACAGTATGAGCTGCTGGCATTGAAAGGGTATGGGAAAGAGCCCTGGGTCTTTCTTTAGAGCCAGAACCCGAGGTCACATAATCCACTTCCTTCCCTGACAGGAATACAGGGCCTTTCCCTTTTTCTTCCATGGTTGCAGGGAATGTGTGCATGCATGTGTGTGTGTATGTTTGTATGCCTGAACGCTTGCTCACTTTCCCTGCCCTTTCCCCCCTGGTTTGGCTTAGCTCTGTGAAAAGAAAATTTTGGCATCCTCTGGACCCCTGGGCGCCGGTGGAAACTTGTTCTTCTCTCTTTGAGAGGGAAGAGAATAGCAAAGAAACCTTCGGGTGACTGAGTGAAAACAGGCAGGTAGCAGAAACTGGTTTAGGTCCATTGGCCAAACTCTCAACTTGCTATTCCAAGAACCAGTTCTCAAAAATGCTTCTCCCTTCTCTTCCCCCTCCCCCAGCTCAGTCTGTATTCAATCTCAACTTCTCCACAAGAGTACTAATCCAGTGCCTCCATCATGGCACAGAGGTTACCCTCAGTTCTTGGAGGCTGTATCAACAGAATATGAGCTCCATCAGGTATCCCTAAGCTTTGAGGAAGAGCCTAGTATTAGGGGGGGAAGAAACTCATTACCGAAAGATTGATTATTCTGCCACAGTTTCATGAAAACCAGGATATGCAAATTGTAACCCCTTTCTGTCAGGGTAGGGATTTCACACTGATGAAATCAGAAATCCTTGAATTATTCGCTCAGGAACCTACTGTCTAGGGATAGCTCCAGGGAATCTTCTGCTCTCTGTTTATAGATGAAAAAAGGCAGCTCTGGTGATCAAATGTGATTTCCCAGATCAGAAGAGAAACCCTGCCTGGCAGGCTTTTCTGTGTATGCCTAAGGGAGAATCCAGCAGCTGGACTTGGTCAAATAGCACTTAGCTATTTGCTTTGAGTTTAGGAGAAAGGGTGATAGAAGAGGGGCAGCTGGAAATCGGCCTCCTCTTGCCTCCACCCGATTGACTAGCACCAAAAGACAGCCTTTGTCTGGCTAGCACCTGTTACTGGCAGGATTGAACCCACCCCATTCCCTATGGCCAGTTGTTCACCTTTGACTACAGATACAGGACTGCGATAACTTAAGACTTCCCAGAAAGTAAGGCAGAGTCTCTCATAGTCAGGCTGCCTTACTTTTCCCTCTCTGTCTTACCATGTTCCTCCATTGAATTCACTTTTCTCATTCATGTTTGTGCTTGGTGATTGGATAATTCTAGT